AACCATTCTGAATGAGTCATAGACCAATGTATTATGAAGATATGGTGTACCCTAGTTCCAAGTCAACACCCAGGGTCAATCCTAAGGCGAAGTAGCCCTATAGGAACTCTTCTTGAGCTTCCCCCATAATGATCTTACCTACTAAATACTAGAGGTTAAGGTCAATATGTGGAATTTCAAGTTGAGTAAAGAGAAGAGTTTTGAATTTCTAATGGTGAGGGTACCTTTTCTAACTTTCTAAGACTAGTCAATAGGAAAGTCCCATGGCTAGACGTAGGCTACTAAAGAAGTTTCTAGACCTCAACCAAAAGTGAGGTCAACAGATGTTTCTGAAAATATGATCGATCTTAGTGATCTTAATAACATTAATAATAATAAAATTTTTTATTTTTACCGTCGTATTTGTAAAAATGAAGTTAAGGAGGCTTTAAAGAAGATCATGGGTGAAAAATCAATAGGACATGATGATATCCCAATTAAAGTGTGGAAATATTTAGGAGATTTGGAAGTTTCTTAGCTTTAAACTATTTAATATTATTTTAAAAACTAAAAAGTTGCCTGAGGAGTGGAAGAAGAGTATCTTAGTCCTCATTTTTAAAAATAAAGGGGATGCAAAGGAGTGCAAATTATATTGGTATTAAGTTAATATATCATTTTTTTAAATTATGGGAGAGGGTAATTGAACGTAGGTTAAGACGTGATACCTCTCATAATCAGTTTGGGTTTATGCCGAGCAATTCTACCATGGACGTTATACATTTATTGAGAGGTTTGATGGAGAAGTATGGAGAGAGTAAGAAGAATCTACATATAGCTTTTATTGATTTAGAAAGAACTTACGATAAGGCTCCAAGAGATGTTCTTTGGAGAGTTCTAGAAAATAAAGGTGTTGATATGACTTATATTCAAGTTCTTAAAGATATGTATACTAGAGTTGCTACTTGTGTTCAAACAGGAGGATTGACCAAGTATTTTCTTATTTCAGTTGGATTGCATTAGGGATTGGTTTTAAGCCCATATCCTTTTGCTTTGGTTATGGATGTTGTTACTGGACATTATAGGAGAATGTTCCTTGGTGTATGTTTTTCTCTGATGATATCCTTTTTGTGGATAAGACTAGAGAAAGAGTTCAAGAAAAACATGAATTATGAAGGTCTACATTGGAGTCTAAAGGCCCTCGCTTGAGTAGATCTAAAATTGAATACATGAATTGTAATTTTAGTAGTTATAGCTCTAGTGACAGAGTTGTAACTAAGGTTGATCAAATCATGAAAATGTATGAACATTTTAGATATCTCGAGTCAATTGTTCAAAGTGATGGTGATATAGATGAGAATGTTATTATTAGAATTCAAGTTGGTTGGTTGAAGTGGGGAGGAATGCATTGAGCCTATTGTGTGGTAGAAAAGCATTGCTTAAAATTAAATGAAAATTTTATAAGGTGGTATTGAGACCCACAATGCTTTGCGGCGCAAAATGTTGGCCTTTAAAGTAGAAGCATAAAACAAAGTTAAGTGTTGCTGAGATGAGAATGCTTAGATGGATGAGTGGCTTGACACTTAGAGACAAAATGCAAAGCGAATTTATCCGTGAAAAGGTTGGTGTAGCTCCAGTGGCAAACAAGATTAAAGAGTCATCTTTGATGATTTGGTTACATTAAATGCCGACAATTTGATGATCCTGTTAGGAGAGTAGTTTAGATTTAACTTGTGTTAAGAAAAGATGAAGTAGACCTAAAAAGACTTGAGCATATTGTATAAAAAATGATCTTAATCTATGTGAATTAAATGAAAATATGACACTCAATAAGACACAATGGAGAAAAAGGATTCATGTGAGTCTGTTTGAGGCAGTTTCAACAGTTTAAAGAAGCAGCTTTAAGCAGCTTTGAAGCTGCTATTCAAAAAGTTGTGGTAACTATTATAAATTTATTTTAATTTCAAAAAGTTAGACCGCAACTTGCTAGAAGCTACCACACTTTAACATATAAGGTTAAAAGAAACAGTTTTCTGGCACAGAAATTTATGAAAAACAACAAGAAAGCAGTTCCCCAAATAGAATACGGTAGCGGTCTGAAAAGCAAAGCATCTAGAAAGCTGTCCTAAAGGGATCCTTAATGGGATAAAGGCTTGCTGTTGTTGCTGTTGTTGTTGTTGTTGTATGTTTTTCTTTTCTATTCTTCATGAAAGTGGAACTTTAACAACATGTTTTTAGGTGAATGAAGCATGCATAAACGTTATTTAAAATAAACACTGAAATTGGTTTGCTTGGTGTTACCTGTAATATCTTTCTTAAGGACTTTAAGTTTCATCTTTGAAATGAGTGGATCCAGCATATTGTGAGCTTATGATATTATGTATTAGATTGATTCTCTCTGCAAATCTCAGAGATTTTGGACACATTTTATGATTATTTTTTTATTTTTATTTTCTTGCTTTGCTTGTGTATTTGCTCAATGGATACATGGAAGAGATGGTGATGATGGAAGATTGATTTCTTACTTGATCTTTCTCCTTAAAGATGCATAGCTTATACCTGTCTACAGAGTTTATGACTTGGGTTTCTTTTTCTAGCTTGAAGTGGTTAAACAATTTATTGGAATTTCAGATTGCCAATGAGTATTGGAAGGGATTGGCTTGTCATAGCTTATGTATTTTACTGATCATAGAAAAAAAATTGATTATCTTTTAATGATACATTATTAAGTTGTAGATGCTGCTGTTGATTTTCTCTATTTTTTTAGTGGGCTTGTGGTATTCTTTATTATGGACCTGAACTTCCTGTCCCCTGTTTTCTTACAACAAATTGTTTGATCTTATCCTTCAATTTCCCTTTTTTTTTGTTTTTTGTTTTTTGTTTTGTTTTGTTTTTTGAATGATATAGCAAGGTTGGAGGGCATTAGACATGAAATTAGCCATTTATTTTATCAAATGCCAAATTGGATTTTTTTCTCCCTACATTCTTGGGGTCATACATAACTTGTGATTGGTGAATGATGCTATTTAATCGTTGCAGGGGTATGCTTTGCTTTGCGTTGGCTTTCCTTCTTCTGATATTGAAGTTGAAACTCAGGATGAGGATGAGGTATTCCTTTAACAAATTAAAGTATGTTTATGCAGTCAAATTTGAGACCCATCAGTTTGATGAGAAGTTCAAATGCACATTTATAACTTTGCATTAAGTGTTACATTGCGACTCATGAGATTCAATATCCTATTCTTTTCAGGTTTACTGGCTCCAGTTTGGAAGATACTTTGCAAGAGGACCTGTAGTAAGTCTTCCACTCCTCTTTGTGACTTCATGAAAGCACCAAAAGCAGGAGTATCTGTTTTCTTCACCGAAACTTCAACAATATGTCAACACTCAATTAATAGGGATAAAAAATACATAGTCCGTTTGGATGCCCCCATTTTCTTTTAGCTGTTTGTTAAAACTTGGGTGAATAGAGCATTACTTTTTTCACTATTACATTTACTCTAGTTTTTCATCCTACATGTTACGCGGGATGATACAACTTTTTTGCGATCTCCCAGTACAGTAAATCGTGGTAGAATTAGCATCGAGATTGTTTAAACTAAATCTATCTTATTGGGTGAACCATAATCATCCTTCTCAGGATTATCGAGATCACAGGGGAAGAATGAATTTAATAATTTACAAATCAGATGGGAAGAATCAAATTTACATGATCTCGGTTAATTTCATTAAATGTTTCAGCCTACCTGTTGCTCAGCAAAGGTGTATCACGAGATTACATTAAAATAGAGAATTTATAACACTTAGAAAATCTCAGATCCTATTCTCAATGATCTTTTCCCTAGAGTGGTTTCTGGAAAAAAGAATGTCACGCTTGGAACTGCAGACTACCGTTGATTGGGTAAGATATTGAAGTGGCCAGCTATACAACTTGGCTTGATTGAGTTTGTCTTGGGTTTGACTTTTACTCTAGGCAACTAGGTAAACTGATGGGTACCTCGGATCAACAACTAATAGTTGGAAAGCAAAAATTGACTTCCTATAGTTAGATATCAGTAGCAGTTTACGATATTTAATAATTTTCTTGCCAGAGTTCTGAACCATTTTTCGAGCAGCGTATAATTATGGCTTAATCCAATGAATTAGTCTAATTGGATCATTGGACTTAAAGCTATTGTGACCCATAATTTCTAGTTTTTTATCTTCTTTATATTTTTTTCTATTTAAATGTATTTTTTATTTTATTTTTATTTACTTATTTATTTTCTTAATCAATCTTTCTGGCTGAATTGACTTGATCAACACATAGGGTCCTAGGGATGATTACAAGTTTATAGTCTGTTGCAATGCTGCGGGTAGATATGATGTTAAAATTTTGGGCGAGTAAAACATTGCTCTTCTCACTATAGTATTTACACGCTAAGCCGTTCAAAGCTACATTACTGCATTTTCCTAGTACGATATATCATGATGATGCTTAACATAATCTTGTTTTTTTTTCAGCTTTAATAATTTCATTTTGTTTCTTGTCCAAGATTCACAGCATATTTTTTTTTGACGAATTTAAATTTAATATGGAGCTCCTTTATACTTTTTTCCGCGTGCTGTCTGTATTTTGTCATCTTCTATGCTCATTTATATATATATGCTTCAACTGTTGTATTCAGGAAAGGGATGACTATGCACTGGAGCTGGCAATGGGAGATGAGTAATGACGAACTGAATTCGTAGCCTAGAGCTTTAGACCCCTTAAAAATGGTTATTTTCGTATCTCTTGACCTGTTGGAGTCCATTTCACTTTAAATATGCACATTATGCTATTTCTATATTGAATTCTATGATTTAATTAACAAGTGGAAGACTTCTTTTTATAGTCCATCTAAATATTAAGTGAAGATGATTCAAATTCAAATAACTATTGTTTTAAATAATAAAATTTTTTTTAATAATTTTTTATTTAAATCAAATTCTAACATATAGTATAAATTTTTTAACTTTAATTTTTTTAACCTAGCCGGATCATGAACCTACGAATTGTGTGAAGATGTGGTTTAAACTTGATTCATTAGTTCATCAAGTTTTGTTGAATGACTATTTATCAAATCAGAGTGAAAAGATATGAGAAGACATAATTTTATTGATGAAAAGAGGGGTATGAATACTCATTACAAGACTTACTGGTAGGAAAATAATAAAAACAAAATACAGTAGAAAAGATAAAGAATAATAACAAAATATAAGAGACAGCTAATCTCTCTAATTTAATGAGAGAAATAAATAGAGATTCCCAAGATCTCTCATATAATTTATAACCCTCTAAATATAGAGTTATAACAAATATGGAATATAATAATTAGTATTTTCGAAATCTTTCAACACTCCTCAAGTTGGGTTGTACAGATTATACATGTTTAACTTGTTATATAATTCTTCAAAGTTGATTTTTGGGAGAGGCTTAGTGAGGATATCTGTTGTTTGATGTCGGGAAGGAATGTATGCAAGTTCGACGACTCTTCTCTCAATGTTTTTAGAGATGAAGTGCCGATCAATCTCGATGTGTTTCGTTCTGTCATGGTGTACTGGATTCTTTGCAACGATGATGGTTGTCTGGTTGTCGCATTGTATTTTGACAGTTTTTTCAATTAGCATTCCGAGTTCGCTGAGTATTCTTTGAATCCACATTCCTTCACAGATCCTGAGTGCAAGAGCTCTGAATTCAGCTTCAGCACTGCTTTTTGATACCACATATTGTTTTTTGCTTCTCCAAGTGACTAGGTTTCCCCGGACATAAGTGCAATAGCCGGAAGTCGATCATCGGTCCGAGACATCTCCTGCCCAGTCTGCGTCTGAATACACTTCTATACTTCGATCCTTATTCCTTTGAAACAGTAGCCCTTTGCTTGGAGTTATCTTGAGGTATCTCAAGATTCTGTAGACTGTATTCATGTGTTCTTTCGTAGGGCTGTTCATGAATTGGCTAACAACACTAACAGAAAAACCAATGTCGGGTCGTGTGTGTGAGAGATAAATGAGTCGCCCCACGAGTCGCTGATATCTCCCCTTATCCACAGGTGCTCTATTTTTCTCAGTGTCGATCTTCTTGTAGGGATCCATTGGAGTATCGACGGGTTTGCAACCAAGCATACATGTTTCCTTCAATAGGTCCAAAGTATATTTCTTTTGTGACACAGATATTCCTCGTTTTGATCGAGCTAGTTTCATGCCGAGAAAGAACTTTGAGTTTCTGAGGTCTTTAATTTTGAATTCCTGGGTGAGAAGCATTGTCAGATTTGTGATTTCTTCTTCGTGATTTCCAGTGAGGATGAAAGGATGATATCGTCGATGTATACGATCAGAATTGCAATCTTCTTTTCGAGAGAGATTTTCACGAAGAGAGTGTGATCTGCCTGACACTGAGTATACCCGTGTTTTGTCACTGATTTTGCAAATCTATCGAACCATGCTTGGGGTACAATGATTTTTGGAGTTTGCAGACTTTGTTGCTTGGAAAGGATGCTTCTAGTCCGGGAGGTGCTTCCATGTAAACTTCTTCTTCCAAATCACCATTTAGGAAAGCATTTTTCACGTCGAGTTGATGTAGCTGCCAGTTTTCATTTGATGCAAGTGAGAGAAAGATTATGATAATGTTAAGTTTGGCCACGGGGGCAAAGGTTTCTAGGTAATCAATACCGTAGGACTGTGAAAAACTTTTTGCTACGAGACGTGCTTTTAATCTCTCAATTGTACCATCTGCCTTATATTTGACTTTGAAGATCCATTGCAGCCGATTGCTTTCTTTCCCTTTGGTAGGTCTGAAGCAGTCCATGTACCATTCTTTTGTAGTGCTCTTACCTCCTCATTGATGACCGCTTTCCACCCTAGGTGTTTGAGAGCTTCATCAATCATGTTTGGGACTTGTGTATTGTTAAATGCAGTGACATAGGCTCGGTAAGCTGAAGATAGTCTTTCATAGGACATAAAGTTGGAGATTGGATGCATCGTGTGTTCGTCCTGAGTGGAGGACGGATGGACCTAACACCTTTCCTTAAAGCAATTGGAATGTCGGAGTCATCAATCATAGGTATAGTAGATTCATGCTCAAGTGTGTTCGTACTTGAGTGGATTTCTGTAGGAGTTGGATCCGGTTCTGACTCTTGGATTGGTGTTGGATGTGTTGGGTGATCTATGTGCGAGTTGGACACTTGAGGACTAGACGAAGATTGATTCTTAGGTACATTTTCATGTGAGTTGGATGAACTTGCTGAATATGAGTCGGGAGATAATGAGTTCGGTTCAAGGGACAAGGATTTGATGTGTGGTGGTATGAACTCGTTGTCCCCCCAAGACTGATATTCCCTTAAAGTCTCCCACTGAATATTAAAGTTGGGGTAGTAAGGCTGGTTTTCAAAGAAGGTGACATCCATAGTGTTGTAGGTTTTTCTTGTGAGAGGAGAGTAGCATTTATACCATTTTTGAATAGGCGAGTAGCTGAGGAAAATACATTTAGTAGATTTGGGATCAAGTTTGTTGCGATTGTGTGAATGAATGTGAACAAAGGAGGAGCAATCAAATACTTTGGTAAGTAGATTTTGGGTAATTGTCTTGGTGTGGGGAAATCATTTGAGGAGTTGGACTGGACTTTGAAATTTGAGGACCCGAGAAGGTATCCTGTTGATGAGGTAGGTTGCAGTGGATACAACGTCACCCCAAAAAACCTTAGGCACGTTAGAGGAAAACATGAGGCAGCGGGCCACCTCGAGAAGGTGGCGGTTCTTGCGTTCGGCGATCCCATTTTGTTGAGCGTCGACACAAGAACTGAGATGGATGATGCCTTTAGAGGAGAGATAAGAGTCGAGGACGGAAGCGAAGTACTCATTTGCATTATCATCCTTGAGTGTCTGGATGGAGGTTTGGAATTGTGTTTGGATTATTGAGTAAAATTGTTCAAATATGTGACCGACTGCAGATTTATCTTTCATAAGAAATAGTCACGTTAGTCGAGTGTGATCTTCAATAAAGGAGACAACCCACTGAGTCCCGGTAAGGGTTGTAACACGGGATGGGCCCCAAATATCGCTGTGAATGAGTGCAAAGTGCTGGGAAGAGGAGTAACCAACACGTGGAAATGACGTGCGAGTGTGTTTGAAAAGTTGACAAAATTCATATTGAAAAGAACGAACATCTTTATTGATAAATAAATTTGGAAATAGTTTTGCAAGATACATAAAATTTGGATGACCGAGACGAAAATGCCATAACATGATTTTGGAACCTTTATTGACACTAGAATTGAAGACAGAATGATGGGTAGACAAATGTCCGCAGCGAGGTTGTGGTGGTGAAGTACCGTTGATGACGTAGAGACACGAGCACATCTCAGCATTGCCAATCGTCGTCCCCGAATTCACATTCTAAAATTCACACATGGTAGGGAAAAATTTAGCAATACACCTCATATCACTAGTCAACTTTCCGATGGATATTAAATTGCAATTTAAAGTAGGAACATTAAGCACAGATCAGAGTAGAATGTTTTGGGTTTTGCGCACGGAGCCAAAGCCAGTGACTTTGGAGACAGCCATCGACTACGCGGATGGTGGAGTTGTCTCTGCACGACATGTAGTCATGGAGAAGGGAGGCATCGCCAGTCATGTGATGAGAAGTGCCGGAATCGATGATCCACTGACCGGGGGATCCTTGATTGACTGTGAAGGCATGGTAGAACGTACCTTGATGGGCGAGCAGGCCGGTGATGGGGTCGGGAATAGCCAGATCAGGTGGTTTGCCGATCAGTTTGTGCAGCAAATCTAGTTGCTTATTACTGAATGGACTGGGCGCTGGTGCAGGAAGGTCATCGACAACGACGGCGCTGTTGGCACGGGGAGCGCGATCAGACCGAGGCTTCCAATCGGCTGGCTTTTCATGAAGCACCCCAACCCTGGCTTTCTGGTTTGCGGCAATGGTTGCACCCGGGATGACCTTTGCGTGATGGCTGTGTCGAGGCAGAGAAATTTCTTGAGAGGAAGAAGAAGAAATCGTCATACTGAAGAAGATTGGTATGACTCTGATACCATGAAAAGATATGAGAAGACTTAATTTTATTGATTGATATAAATATTCATTACAAGACTTACTGGTAAGGAAAATAATAAAAACAAAATACAGTAGAAAAGGAAAGGAATAATAACGAAATATAAGAGACAGCTAGTCTCTTTAATTTAAGGAGAGAAATAAATAGAGATTCCCAAGATCCCTCGTATAATTTATAACCCTCTAAATATAGAATTATAACAAATATAAAATATGATAATTAGTATTTTCGAGATCTTTCAACACAGAGTTCAAGCTCAAGCCGACTTATGAGTCAATTTAAGTGCACCTTAAGTTTAGCCATCTATGAATTAGTTTTTCCATTGGTGCATGAACCCCCGAAACCATTTCTTTATGAATTGGGAGAGAGGTCGCATTATTAGGTTTTCCATTATTAAGGCATTAAACTCTCTCCTTTGACATTAGTCAGACGCAATTAAAGTGGCAGTGAACCCAATCACTGCCAAAGATGTGTGTAGATGTGGAAGCCATCATGATGTTATCCTAGCTCAGATTGCAATGGTCATTTGTCTCGTCCCTTCTTTGTCGGGAGAGAAGTCCTAACCAAATTGATTGCCATCGACCACATTCCAAGGGCCAACGTCTAATGGATTTGGGTTAATTTGAGGCTAGTTTGGGCTTGCTTTGGGCTAAACAATGTTAAACTGTGCCTGAGTTTGATTTGGTAAGGTTGTTAAGAGTCATAGAATAAGTCAATTAGATGCGTTGGCGTTGGGATTGATTTAGATGCATTTAAATTCGAGAAAAATATGATAATTAGTATTTTCGAGATCTTTCAACACAGAGTTCAAGCTCAAGCCGACTTATGAGTCAATTTAAGTGCACCTTAAGTTTAGCCATCTATGAATTAGTTTTTCCATTGGTGCATGAACCCCCGAAACCATTTCTTTATGAATTGGGAGAGAGGTCGCATTATTAGGTTTTCCATTATTAAGGCATTAAACTCTCTCCTTTGACATTAGTCAGACGCAATTAAAGTGGCAGTGAACCCAATCACTGCCAAAGATGTGTGTAGATGTGGAAGCCATCATGATGTTATCCTAGCTCAGATTGCAATGGTCATTTGTCTCGTCCCTTCTTTGTCGGGAGAGAAGTCCTAACCAAATTGATTGCCATCGACCACATTCCAAGGGCCAACGTCTAATGGATTTGGGTTAATTTGAGGCTAGTTTGGGCTTGCTTTGGGCTAAACAATGTTAAACTGTGCCTGAGTTTGATTTGGTAAGGTTGTTAAGAGTCATAGAATAAGTCCAAATAATAGATTTGCGTTGGGATTGATTTAGATGCATTTAAATTCGAGACATCTTAATGGGTCCATAATAGGACATGTGACCTATTGAACCAAATTGGGGTATACTGACTTCAATTTTCTCATGATTTAATTAATGTCAACTTTAGGAATTATATGGCCAAGCTTAGGGCTGTCAAATCAGGTTAAAGTGTTGGGTTTGGGTCTAATTCAAAATTGACCTAACTCAAAATTGCTTGACTTAAACCCTACCAAACTATTAAGTAAGTCAGAGCCTAACATAAACCTAAAATAACTTCAACCCGACTGACCTAAACCTGACCCATGCAACTCATTTAATATATTCATAATAAGTATTTAAGTCAAATTCAGGTTAATTTTGAGTCATGTTAGATTAATTTTGAGTCAAATTCAGGGTAATGTTAGAGTATTTTAGATAAATTTAAGTTGTTGGGTCAACTTAAATTTTACTTAAAAATTAATTGAGTCAACCTAACCCAAAATTTTCAAGTTGACTTGGCATGTTTGGTTAATTTTTGACATCCCTAGCCTATTTTGATTAAATTTGGTTTGAAATAGGTGAACTTTGACTCAATCATCCCTTAATAGGTAATGTTTGATCAAGTTAACCTGATAGCCAATTTTAAATTTGAAGGTTTTAATTTAGACTCACATCAAACCTAGTGAAATCTAAACTTTATTGAAATTTAGTATAATCGATTTAAGTTTTATTTAAGGTAGTTTTAGGTGAGTTTGACTCAACATCCCCTTAATGAGTCATATTTGGTTAAACCAAGTGGCTCAAATTTGAATTTAATTGTTTAAATTGTGATTTGAATAGCTAAGGTGAATCATTTAGGACACTTAGCTTGGTTTGATTTGTTTATCTTAACTCATTTTTTTTTTTTTGAATTTCAAGACATTATAGAGTAGTCTACTAGGTCATTTAAACTAGGCTCACCCATGCTTGACTCAAGTATGGTTCTTTTCATCACTTATACGTTTGTTAAATTTATTATGAGCCCAATGCTTGAATAAAGATAGATTTGATTAGTGGGTACCACATGGTCACTATGGGTTGACTAGCAAATCGGGTCAACCAAGCCGCTTAGCGCAAGGTAAGACAAGGAGGTATCCAAATGCTCTAGGATAAATACCAAGGGTTTTAATGAAGTTTTTTGTTCAGTTCTTGATTATTGATGACCTAATTTTTGGTGGAGTCCAGGAAGACTTCTTTTTCGTATCCTCTTTTAGACAAACATAATAGAAAATAAATTCTCTTATTCTATTTTACTTTGATCTCTCTCTCTCTCTCTCTTAGAGTGTTCCACATCTCTCTTTTTGAATGCTAATAAGATTTGTGCTTAATCCACAAACAAATTTGGGTGCAAAAATTGAAGTCACCAAGCTTGTTTAACAATAAAAGTAATATGTAACCAAATAAAAGAAAAAAATCTTTTTAAAATCATAAAGAAGTTCACACGTTAGATTCAAAAGCTAGAAGTGTGCATTATTTTGTCTAAACTAAAAAAGCGAACCAATCAAGTCAACTTGGTTGATTAGGTTCGATTTTAAAAAAAAAATTATGTTTCGGTTTTAAAATTTAAAAGTTTGGTTATTGGTTTACGGTTCAGTTTTACTTCTCATTATACCGAATGAACCAAAAACTGCATAATTAATATCTTTTTAAGTGTTTGATATGTAAATACGTAAGGATTGGTTTGTATGCATCAAAATATTCTTAGAAATATTTGGAAGTAAAGTTTCTAGTGATCAATATTACATAGTCTTCGCTTAGTAATTTTTTTTTCTCTCGTTGTCATCATATCCTTATATCTTTAAATTATATTTTGGCATATGTAAAATCAAACCGTTTAAACCGAATTAAACTATATCATGATTGTTTCGGTTTTACCAAAAATTTGTTTTGTTTGATACTATGAATTTTGGATTTCGGTTGTAATCGGATTTGCCCACTTTAAAAATCGAATCATCCGATCATATCGAATGCTCGCCTCTATTGTAGTAACCTTGGGAGTGACTTTCACTTGCAGAGACTCACCCCCTGGGCAAGAAGGTACCTCCATAACAGGTTCAACAGGAACACTATAGCCATATGGATGTCTACCTTTTCTTACTCACCTTGTTAAGTACAAGCTTCACTTTTTTTTTTCATTTTTCTCTCAGCACTTTTCGTTCTATACCCTTCTCATATTACTCACCACCGCAGCTTTCGTAAAAAACTAAAATTTTATTTGTTAGTCTCCATACTCGAAAAATTGTAGAGCTCAAGTTGTCAGAAGGAGATCTCAAACTCATAATTTTTTTGTAAATAATGTCACTTTTCTTTTGCACACTAAATACACGTTATTACATTAATACAATTTTTATAGAGTTAAATAAAACAATGAATATATATATATATGTATATATATATAAAAAATGAGGTGACGCTTTTACCAATATATATATATGTCGGTATTTGGTAGAGGCCCAAATACCGATTTCCCATGTGCTAGGCCCCATTATAGGAGTCCACGTCATAAGCCTAAATATTCGAGAACCCAGCGCCACTGGGGATCGAACCTGTGACCTGAGGGGACTTACAGTGAACCCCGTCAATCAACAGGTCACGGGTTGCGGCACGTGTGTATATATATATACATATAAATATACAATTTTTGTTCTATTTTTTGATGGTGATTATTTTATAATTATTTTTATTATGTAGGACGTGGAAGAAAACTTAATTTAATTTGAGGATGAGGGAAAGGAGCTGAGAGCATCTTTTTATATTTTTATATTTATACTTTATTTCAGCTCGGAGCATTTTAATAGACGCTTCGCATGTCATTCTTAATTTTGTGAACCAATGTGGAGTTGACATTGCGCCATGTGCGCTTATTTAAAACTTTATCTCTGAGATTTATTCATTATATCTGAGATTTATACATTATCTTTTAGATTTTAAGTGCAGATGGCATGCATATCAATATATTTTATTGAATAACTTGTATAGTTCTAAGACATATCTATGACCCGACTGGACAACTTTAGAGCCCATTTAGGTCAATTTTTTATGGTGAGAAAACAAGTGTCTTACAACCTTATCGCCTATGTGGTAATTATAAGATAATTGCTTTACTTTTTCTTAATAAGCCTTTAATTGCCACATTTACTTTAACAAATATGAGCAGTCATTTTAAACACACCCTTAAACCATCTAGCTATTGATGGCCTAAATTGTTTCAGGCTCTATATATGGGTTGATGTAAGCGTTGGAGATGATTCTTGGTGCAATTTAAAAAGATAATCTTGCTTCTAAAAACTAGGATCAATCAAAATAATGCATACTTGTGTTGTAAGAGAAGAATTTGGATTATCTGTTTTGAATCCCTCCGCTCTTTAGAATTCTTTGATCATCCATATAAAGGCATAATATCAACTTTCTTAATTCGGAGAAGATATTGCATATTTACAAAGTATGTACTTGCAAGGATGGATGGAGTGACCACGTCACATATAAGTGAAATTATGGTGACATGACCACTCATCCACCCTTGTAAGTACTTATTGACAAAGTATGCAATATTTTCTCCTCAATTTGATAGTTTTTGTTAGTAATGGTTGTGCAATATGTTTAGTGTCCATTACTTCACGAGGAAGGAGGAAATGACAGAAAAGTATGATAAGGGGTTTATATTACTTATATAATAATAAAGATTATGATAACATTATTATTTTACAAGTCCTTATTTATTTTTCTAACAAGTTGGAGTTAACATTTAATAATCTCTTTATTCGGTGTTGTGGCTCATTCCACCTTCATTTGGCACATGCAACCATGGGCTAAATGTTTGTTTTATTTGTGTGTTCTTATTCAGAATATTCTCTTTTATCTGGGGATACCAATACTCAAGGAGAAAATTGTACAAACTATTCAACTATCAAATAAAATATTTCTTTAACTCATCAAGAGAAATAATACTTTTGAATGTAGTCAAGAAAGATATCCCAAGTTATAAATGTAGTAGGCCAAATCTTACAAGTCCTAACCTTCCAAACACTACTCTCTTGTTATTTTTGTAGAAAATCCTTAAAAAAATTTTAAGAAAATATGTTTGATAACATATTGGATTATACTTTAAGGCACGTTTAATATGTGAGGAAAAAAATGAAAGAAAGTATCTGACCTAAAATAAATAGTAGAAATCACATTTGTTAGCTTCCAACCTTTTTTTTTTGTAGGATTTTTCTTTTTAACTCCTGACATATCAAGACAATTTTAAAAAATATTAAATGTGAAAGATAAATAGCCTGATTAAATGACATCATAATTTATTATATAAAATGTAATGACTTTGTGTTCTTTTAGATAAGAAATAACTATTTTATAATAACAATAATAATAAGAGTATTAAATTTTAGTAATATCCTGTAAATAAACTATTTTATATTGTCATATATTCCCAAGATCAATGGAAAATATGATTCCTCCTAATTTTTTCAACCCTCAACTAAATTCTGGGTCTGTTTGGGGCAGCTACAACTTATTGAATAATCTGCTGATAAGATGATTAAAAATAATCTGTTAATAAGTTAGGTGCGGTGGCTATCACAAATTTTTATTTTTTTTGGAAAAGTCAGACCGCTACCAAAAAACTGTCACCGCACCTAGATAGGTGCGGTGTGAAAACGCTGTTTTCAGCGTTTTCACAACGCATAAGCTGCCAAAACGCAGTTTACCCAAACAAGTCAGGTGCGTTTTCAAAATGTCACTGCACCAAATAAGCTGCTCTGTCCACATATCCCGTGAGGTTTACGAATTTCTATAAGCATAACTACAAAATGTTACAACTCCAATATGTTTAATAAGAACATTACTCCAAATATATATAAAATCCTATTAATATAAGGTAAAAAAATTATAACCTTGATATTTTACATTGTTATCTTTATTTGGTAAAGCTGAGAACATAGTACATGGATGAATTATTTCTTAAGAGCATATTACATTAAAACACAAGTAAAGGGGGAAAAGCTAGAAAAGATTAGCAAAAAGGCCATAAAGAAAATCGAAATGGTGCTCTATAAGCTACCAATTGTTCAATATAGCTGAACAAAAGTTAAAATAAGTCCATTATGAAACAAGTATAAGAAAACCTGTAAAAAAAAAAAAAGGTAGTATTATAAACAACAAAAATGAGATGAGATAAAAAATAAAAAATCCAGTGGAAAAATAAATTCCATAAATTCCATTAGTGGGTATTATAATTGGCATGAATCATAATTGGGTTTAGCATGCATAATCACTGCTTAGAGCCCAAAATTAAAATGTAAAAAAAAAAACATAAAAAAACTAATCTAAATTTAATGGATGTCCCAACCAAAAACGTTTTGTCATCCAAAACAATAAAATCATAATCAATTTTTAATTCAAAATTGAACTGAAATAACATAAATTGCTTGTAACCAAAACATTCCTAATAGCAAAGATGCAGCATTAAACCCTTAACAGTCTAGTAACTGGTGAACTTCAATGTGCCATTAATAGTTCATGTGACATTAATAGTTTTTTTATATCTCCTCTTTTTATAGGAAACCAATGTTTAATTATCAATTAAAAAAATGTTGGAATTTATGTCGTACTGAACGAACAACCTCGGAATCCTAAAAAAGTTAGGACTTATACTATATAATATAATTTTGCAAAAGCCTAAAGATAAAGTGAAGATTTACGCCATGCTAGACGAACAACCTTGAAGTCCTAAGAGTTTATGTTATTCAATACTAAGGAAAGTTTAGTTGAAGTAGATCCACTTCATTGTTAAGTATTGATCGTCATCTAAAGTTGTCTTTCATTCGCTTGCATCCTCGTTCTGCTTTCCGGTAAACTGGCTTCAAGCTCTTTGCTTATGATGGTTATGGGTTTAAGGTTTATGATTGAACTCATAATTATAGTTGGGTGTCGAGACTTGTTGTAATGTTCCCCCTAAACAGATGTCCTACTGTTCTCTACCGTAGGGCCTTTACAAGTCTTAAATTATGCATAAGCCTTATAATTATGAAAAAGAGTTTATGTTATTCAATATATGAAAAGTTTATTTGTAGATTCCTTAATATCAGTTGAAGTTGATATCACAAGCAAGGAGCTAGAGAATAATTTTTTCCAGTGGTTTACAATGCATTTAAGTTTGAATTTGGCATATTTGTTACTTGTCTCACATGTTTATGTTTAGCTATTTCATTGACACATTATTTCTTATGAATTAATAGATTCAATATTAGGAAAATGGAGTAAAAGATGAGGGCTAGATGATCATGAATGGGGACCCATGCACATTGTGAAAATTTGATAAAGTTATGTGTGAATGGCTACAGATTTGATGTGAATCCTGGTAAGAAGGAGAAATAATTTATAATTCTAGTGTTTTTGCTAAAGAAAACAATAAATCAAATGGCGAGATATACTATGAATAGATTCTCAAAGAATTTATTGAACTATCTTATCCTGACTCCATTTGAGGAAGTGTATTCCTATTCAACTGTGATTGATTCAATTCTATTCCTAATCATAGAACAAGGGTAAACCAACCATATAATATTATAAAAGTAGAAGTGAACAAAAGATATGCTAAATTTGATCCATTCATTCTAGCAACGTAGGTGAGTCAGGCTTATTATCTTCAATATTTCCAAAGAACAAGAGATAATGTTGAGTGAGCAGTTGTCATGTCGAGTAAACTTAGAGCCACTATTGATATTTAAAATACTATTGAACCTACTCATCAAAAAATTTAAATGACAAATTCATATTTTGCACTCGATCTAATCCATGAAGAGCTAAATTTAGAAGATATTAGTGAAAAACATGAAGAAATTATTCTCGGTGACAAGTATGACTCTGTGATGCTTTGGACGACAAATTTTTAACTACACCCTCCATTCACTCATTAGGCAAGGTTGAGTAACATGAGCAAGTTACTTTAATTAGTATAAGCTCGAGTCCCCATAGTTTGTATATTGCACTTTCTTTTTTTTCCTTTGACTATTTAGTATGTACAATTTTGTTTTCATTTTCACTAGCTTATAGTCACCATAGTTTATATCTTGAAAATTATAGTTTTTCTCATGTTTACTTCATACTGTTATATTTTTTAGTTTACCATGTACTATCATACTTTAGTTTACTGCGTAGTTTTTTATTATGTTCATTAATTAATTAAATTTCTTTTTCTTATTGCAGATGTCAATTAGAGGTTGGGACGGTCTACCTCCTTGCTTGGGCCAACATGGTGCACAATAGCATCTCACAAAGAAGACAATCAGGAGAGGTAGTATGAGCAACATTGGGAGTCTCCAAGCACACTGGTGGGGCACTCCCACACATAAAATACAAGAGGAGGATGGTAAGATTTTAGTTCTGATTTAAATTTTATTATAAATCAATAACATATTTTAAATATTTCATTACTTTGATAGACCGTGCAGTTGGGACGAGTGCATAGGTTACAATCATACTAGACCTGGAGTAATGATAAATCCCAGGTGACCCAGATAATTCACGAATTAAACTGGTTTAATGTTTAACGACGATCTAGCTATCAGCAACAAATTTTTCTTAGAAATTTTCATAAAAAGAAGGAGAGCTAAATCCAATAGTGAGGTGGTATTACTATTCGAGAATGTGATTCGTCCAAGTACGAGTTATTGAGAGAGGTTGTCGGATAAAAGAGGAAGGGTCGGGTCCGCAGGTTAGGGTATCAAGCCTTGACCTAAGACACTCACCTCTCCATTAGAGCATCAAGGACTTCTACTTCTATCACACAGAAGGAGGAGGTTTCTAGGCGGTTATAACATTCACCGTCGATATGCCGAGTCTCAATCTATATTGCCCAGATGAGGTTGGACCTGGAGGCAAAGTTTAAAGATTGAATTAGATGAGTTCTGGCATCGGATGAAGCAACAGGGGAAGCATCCAGTGATATATGTTATCGAGGATGAGGATGACAATGATGATGAGGAGATGAAGGATGATTAGTTGGGGTCATTGTTCATTTGCAAATATATTCTTTTAAAAATTTGAGTGGATATTCTTTTATTGAACAACTATGTATATATTTTTTTAATTAAATGCATTTCATCTAATTATCTGGTAAATTGGAAAGTTTATTAATCTAATTTCAGTTTGTCAAATATTTGGATTTGTTAAATTGTATAGTAGTTATTGCATTTATTTGTTTGTGGATTACAGATGTGGAAATCTAGCTATGAAATTTGATATTTATTTTTTTTCTGATGTTAAAGGATTTTTATGGCTTTTCATCGGTCTTTTGATAGTGTATCGAGTAGTTATTGTGTTATCTGAAGGTAAATGTCAATAGTTATATTACTGGTGAGTAACTGATGCATATTTGACGACTTTGGCAGTGATAAAAAATTGAAAAATGCTCCAATATGTTGATGGTTACCTCATCGATAATAATACTGATGAATGATTGAAGCATAACAAATGCCATTTAATGCAATAAAAAATCATCAATTGTTCCTAGTTACTAAAGATTAACTTGTCGGTTATTAGAGCCCGTTTGGTTCAGCTTTTTTGGCGTGGCGCTGTATGCGACAGCCGCTTCGTCGCGCAGTCGGCCGTTTGGTTCGTAGCTTTGCAGCAAAACTTTCCCAAAGTTGAGCAAAAGCGGGTTGCGATATTAACCCCGCGGCCCCGCTTTTGCCTGAAGATTCTCCCCGCTTACCCCTTTTTTTTCTCTTCTGCCCTAACTGCTTCCCTCGCGGCTCTCCTTCATCGTCTTGCTTTGTAGCCCCTCCATCGACAGATCTGAGGTATAACGAGCAATTTTATTCTTCTAATCGCAGATATGAGGGAGCTTATGGATTTTTCCGAATGTAATGTTTTCTCTTCTCATCTCCTTCCTATTTATGTGATTTTTTGTTTATTCCTTCTAAAGATGCGGTGGATCTGTACATTAGCGCATGGAACCTGTTTGGTTTTTTATCGGTTGTTTCACTAGGGTTTTGCCTTTGCTTTCCCTTCTTGTTTGAGCCATTCTTGTTTGGTGGATGCTGGCTCAAGAATGGAATAAGGTAGTGGTTGATTCACTGAGTAGTGGTTGATTCACTGATGTGTAGTGGTTGTTGTTCATGCCTTTTCTTTCCCTTCTCGGTAGATCTGTACATTAGGTAGTGGTTCATTCATCACTGATGTTTTGCTCTGAGACACATTTGTGGAAGTTATGAAAGGCATTGACTTTTTGTTTGCAATTGGTGTCAGGTTAACATGGGCATTTCCTTGCAATAAACTTCTCTGCCATGGATAGTGCATGAACAACAAACGAATCCTTTCTATGCTTAGAAAAATTTTAGCAATTGTTTCAAAGTAAAATATTGACCGTCTTTTATTGGTTAAAAGAATGGAATGTATATTTTTTTAGTTATGAAACATAAGAGTGATACTGATTGGGACATAAGAATTGGTTCTTGCAGTAAAAATTATGAATTGTGGCTTACCCATGGTATTCCATTTTATTTTATCACAATGTGATTCTGATTCCTTCTGTGTTGGAATCCATTAGTTGTTTGCTGAACATGTGCAAAGTGCTTGAAAAATTCTTCTACCTGTAATTTTATATTTTTTCTTGCAATTCATGACTTTCACCTCTAGAATTATTCCTATGATCCAGATTTCTGTTCTTTTTCAGTTTTTGATTGTTACTGTAGATGGAGCTGAGAACATTGCTCTGGCATTTTTACTACCAGCTTTCAGTGTTTAGGGCTTTCAACTAACTATGTTTTATTTTTCAATTCTGGGGGACTGATTTTTTTATTTTAAATTAGGTATTAAGGAATGTAACATGATCTATTTTTTAAGAAAGTTTTACCTTTCTGGTTGGATATTCTACGAGTGTCGTGCAAGTTAATTGCAACTTTTGTGTGATGCCATTGATCCAGGAGGATTAGAATAGCCGGCCATCAGCCTAGCGATAAGGTAGGAATAATAGCTTTCAGGCCAATTCAAGGAAGTATGCAAATGAGAGGTGACTTTTTATATATTGTATATATGATGTAAGTTGTGCATATGTACAACAAAGGAGTCCTTGTTGATATGCTTAAAAAATTTCAGCTAGTATTTCAATAAAATATTGCATTCGTTTCCCGTGGACGTAGGTCAGTTGACCGAACCACGTAAATTCCTGTGTTCCCTTATCTTTACATTTCTTGTTTAGTTTATTGCTTGCAACGTGTTTATATCTATTCTTTCATTTGTTTAGCAATTTAAATTCGTTATATTAATTCATATTGAATGTTATTTTTTGGTAGTATTATTAGCATGGCTAATAAAAACAAAAAGATTGACACTCCTGCACTTTGAGAGAAGGACACCAAGTTAATATTCTGTGATCTATGCATATGTGAAATTGATGAGGGAAATATGCCAACAACATTTTTCAATAAGGAAGGTTGGGATAACATCGTTAGCAAATTCAAAAAGATGACAGGTAGGGAATATGATAGACTCCAATTGAAGAATAAATGGGACCAGCTTAAGAAAGATTGGAAATTGTGGAGTGATTTGAAGCGTGGCTCCACTGGATTAGGATGGGATCCGGTGAATAGAACAATTGAGGCGTCAGAGGAATGGTGGCAAGAAAGGCTTGCGATAAGATATTATAGAGTCATTCTTTTTAATTTTAATAAGTTCTATTTTTTATTTCTAATAACCTTTCATTCTCTTTTACAGATTGTTCCTGCGGCTAAGAAGTTCAGATTGGCTGGGATTGAACCAGAATTGGAAGACTGAACCAGAATTCGAGGGCAAGTTAAAAATGATGTTTGGTGGGGTGGTAGCTAAAGGGAAATTTTCAGCTGCCCCTAGCCAAATAGTTTTTGAAACAACCCCCGAGAATGTGGCCGTGGAATTGTCAAATGATTCTGCAGAATTCCGCAGTGTTGAGCCACCTGAAATTCAATCCACCAACCATGTGAAGCGCCCCCGGAACGAACGCTAGAGAAAGAGTGGACCTGCATCTATGAGGGAGCAGCTCTCATACCTAGTGAACTCATCTAATGATGCCCCTCAAAGAGTTCAAAAAACCTCGATTCATGAGGCCATTGGACTTCTGGACTTCTTGAAGAAGATCCATAATTTACAGGGGATCGTGATCTTTTCTACTTTGTTGTAGACCTCTTTCGTGATTCCCTCCATCGAGACTTCTTCACAACACTGAGCAAAGAGCGAAGACTGGAATACATACGCTATTATTATAATCGTCGTGACTTGTGAAGTTGAGCTCCTCATTAGTTGACATTGTGGTTGGTTTTGGTTTGTTAATTTGGAAACTAGACTGCTGCACATCATTTCATCTATGATTACTCCTGATAGTAAACTTTTTCATTTGTGGTTGTTCGTCATTTTTATGAAACTGATTTACTTCATTCCAAAGGATGTTTAAGTTATTTATTTTCCAATTATAGTTCATATGTGTGGTTGTTTTATTCCATTTATGAGCTTAACTGTATTTCAAAGTATAATGTATAGTTCATATCGTCATGGACCCAGAGGAAGTATGACGCCGACGTCGAAATGCAGTCATAAATATACCAGTGCATTACTATAATATGTATGTCGACCGTGAGCTGTGTTACACATCATCTCAGATTGGAGACAAATGGATGGGAGAAATGATTTCAGGACACCCAACGAGATTTCGTTCCGCATGTCCCAAGGTGTTTTCAGTGATCTATTATTAGATCTAAAAACATCTCATGGACTTCACGGATCTTCTAGGACAACAGACCGTGAAGTATTGGGCATAACACTTTATATTTTATCACAGAACGAGTCAATCCGGGGAGCCATGGAACACTTTCAACACTCATCTGAAACAATAAGCAGATATTTCTCAGTTGGTTTGAGTTCTTATGTCAGTCTAGCACAAGCCATAATAAAACCCACAGATCCAACATTTGCAAGAACGTCAGTAGAGATTCGCAACGATGCCCGATACATGCCACATTTCAAGGTAGACATTCATACTTTAAATAAATATTACTGGGTTGTATATTGAAATGATTTCACTTATTCGTAAAGGGTTGCATCGGCGCAATCGATGGAACGCACGGTCATGCTAGGGTCCTAGATAACGAGAAAGTTGCATTTATCGGCCGTTCCGGAAGCACAACTCAAAATATCATAGTAGTATGTGATTCCAACATGTGTTTTACATTTGCAATGGCTAGATGGGAGGGCAGCGCACATGATAGTATAATTTTTAAAATTGCAACGAGAAATCCAGAGTACAATTTTCCTCACCCACTGCATGGTTAGTTCCTTACTAATACAAATAGATTTTTGTTTTGTATGCCACCTAAAGTTTATAAGTTTTCATGGAAGTACTATTTGGTGGATGTTGGCTACCCAATGCAGAGGGGATACCTTAAACCCTATCCTGACACAAGGTATCATATTCTAGATTTTCATAGAGCCAGCAATCGTACAAGAAATAGAAAAGAGGTTTTTAATAAAAGACATTCATCCTTGTGAGACGTAATTGAGAGGACTTTTGGAGTTTGGAAGAAAAAATGGGTCATACTTCGAGATATGCCACCTTATCCGTTTCTGAAATAGATGCATATAGTGTTAGCCACTATGACCCTTAATAACTATATTAGGCGGCATCCAACTCGAGCTGATGTTGATTTCGAGCGTGTCGAGGTCAATGAAAAGGAAGTGTCAGTCGAAGCTTTTGAATACCGCATTGGATAATCTCTATCAACGGAGGAGAACGACAATGTCTCAATTTGCACGAAAGATGGGGAGGGTGCGAATGAAATGGCAGCCCTTTTTTGATTACCTAATATGTTAGTAATTATGTTTTATGCTGCATTGCTTTTCAGGATAATATGAGTTCTAGGATGTCCTCTACCTCCCAACGAGTGATTTGTCATTGTGGCCTGCAAACCCCACTTTTGACCTCACAGCAGGCACACAGCTATGGTAGGAAGTTTTATACATGCCCCCGAAGCATTGCCGATCAATGCAGTTTTTTTCGAAGGGCGGACAGTTTCTCTGATGCTGAGGATGATGTTGGTAGCGATGTGCGAGTTTCAGATGACGAAGGACAGACACGGGAGCTACAGCGTGCCATTGTTAGAAGTAACATTACCATTATACTACTCGTCGTGGTCATAGTTTTACAATTTTTTTTTCATTCTGCTTCTCCTAGCTATTTTGGATGTACGAAACTGTAGAAGTTCCTACGTCTTTATGTATGAAAACACGACTTCATATGGCTGAGATGCTTTTATATATTTTACATTTTATGCTTCTAAAATATATATATTTGTAAATTTTAATATGTATAGATGAATTAATATTTGTATACATTGATATATAGATAGAGATAAATTTTAAACCTATATGTTTTCAAAATTACAAAATATTTTTTAGAAATTATCTATAAAAATGAATATTAAAAACAATTTATTTCATTTAATTAATAAGAAATAATATTTTTATAAATTTTATGTATATTACACATATTTATACAAATAAATCAAGAATTAAAAACAGTTTTAACAAACAGCGACAGTTTGATCATTTTTACATGAAACAGCTCGCTCACAACATTTTCCATGCAGCTGCACCAAACATACAGCCAGTTTCCCCGTAGCTACTTCCCCACAGCTGCTTCCTGGGGCAGCGCAGCTGTAGTTGAAAAGTTCAGAAGCTGCAGTTGCGCCAAACAGACCCTAACTTGTCGGTTATTGTCGACGACCAACCAACGCTGATGCAATGACTACATTCGATGATTATAGTCGTCGATAACTACAAACTAATGAAGATTGACGACTTACCCAAATTTTTTTATTCATCATAAAACAACGATCATATCCTATTTGAAGACCGTCTGTTTCCATTCATTTTTCTTTTTTTATTTTAGAAAAAATTGTCAGCTTGTCGATAGTCGTATACTTTCCTTATTTGAATAAATCTCTCCCCCTCAAATCAAATCAGTGATTTGAAGAGGAGATGAACCGAATAAAAAGAGACATACAACAAAGTCACAAATAAGAGAAAAGAAAAATAAGGAGAGTCTACGTGCAATAGACCTTGCAAGGTTAAGTCAAGAATATCCGCCCAAATAAGATCGAACGAAGACACCTTGAACCAACATCCACAAAAGAGGTATCTCAATAGAATACTCATAACCAGAGAGTCAGGTGTATGTAACTGTGCTGGGGTCAAGAGCACTCTCAGAGGAACAAATTCCTCTGGTTAATTACATCTTGGGGGATACCCAATAATACTTCTGATAAAAGGAGTTTTACTTTATATTATCATAGACCTGGCGTATAGGCAATCAAAGGAAAATTAATCCGTGTGGGAAAGTCTCGATGCTTTAAAGCTCATGCTAAGCCATCAGACAGAGATCAATCCTCTCACATTTTGAATGGGTAGCAACTCATTTACATACGAAGCCCACAAAATAACATAAATCATCTTGATGGGGATATCTCAATACTTCAAAGCATGTCCAGACCATACGAGCAGAGGATAAATCATCGTATCCCAAACGTACGGCACCTCATCAGTATCGGATCATCAAGGTGATATCAACAAAGTCAAGGAGCGATAGGGCTCAAAGGAGCTCAACAAAAGAAAGGTGGAGTAATCCTAGAAGGCAGAGGTAGCTAAGTTGTGGTACCATGAACCCGTCATACACAACTACTAGGATCCCAAGTCTACCTGCTAGTGAAGGTAGCTGACCCAACACGTCCTGAAATCCTCAGTCGGCAATCCGTGAAATGCGTTGTCCATGGGGACCTCGGTAGCCCTAAGGTCAAAGAAAGGAAACTCTATCCTATGACTATAGGCTGGAGCTCCAAGAGGTGGGACTTATACCTGTCAAAGTGGCAAGGATGTCTCAAGAAAGAAAGAGAGAGGGAGGTTCAACTACAAAACTGGAAACACTCCAAACAAAAGGAATTACACCCTGTGTGGGCCAGGGAGCCTTCTAACACTCTAGACGCACTAGACAACCATCTATATAGAAAAAGCTATGCTAGGCCACTCGGGTTGGAGAAGCACGAGGGCTTCTCCTTGGGACATGCAATACAAATGTAGTTATCTAGAGCGGTCCTTAAGAGTTGTAGAGGCCCTAATAATGACTTGGGTTATAGCCATGCAATGCAGTTCATTTAAAATTTGGGTCGAAGGCCATGCAGGAAAGTAAAATCGTAATTTTTAAAATCTTGAATATTTTAATCCTAAAAATTCATTTTTCTTGAATGTTTTATTAGAATTTTTATGTAGAAAACTTTAGAATTTTAAATCATAAAGAACCTATATTGCATCGTGAAATCCCAGATCATAGAAAGAAACAAGGAAAAACATGTAGACATGAAAGCATACAGGCATGCAATGAAGCAGAAAACTTAGCCAAATCATAATAAGAAAGGTCGGTGTCTCTGGGTCGTCAACATATCCCAGAAAAGAAAAAGATGGTTGGAATCCACATATACATGTCTCGTTCTAATTTTATTGATCAAAATAAAAATACAAAATTAAGATATGGGGCAAGAGCATCTGCTCCTAGTCCCCTCCACGTGGTTCTCGCGCCAAACACCGTGGAACCCGTGCCCGTATCTTATTTTTGCTACAAAACTCTCATAGACTCTAAAAGTACATAGGAGAAGAAAAGACTTAATCTTGCATGAAAATAAATGTTAGAGGAAAAACCCACATGTAGTGTCTATAACAAGTCGTGCCTTATAAGTGGGGGAGCTGAATAGCACCTACAAGCAAAATGTTTAGAAATCTTCAAATGCTCCCCCATAGAGGTACCTATGTGTGTGCATATAAATATACACAGCTCTCTGCAGAAGAATGCCCAAACAAAATACCATACATATGCAACAAACAATCACAAAAAAAGCACAAAGCAAGAAAGATGTCTAACTAGGGCAACCAATCCAGCAAAGAATAATAACACAACATCAAAAAGAC